TTCATAATTAAATAAACCCAGAGAATGTGAAACAGGCTCTCAAAAAACCCTAAGAGGTATTTTAGAAGAAATGCTGGAGATTCACGTTTGAAAGGAGAGACTTCTCAGATCTAACTATCCAAGGACCACTCAGACTCTCTGAGGTTCTATAATGGTGGGAAATCGTATTTTAGCGCACAAAGGAAGATTTCTTAAGAATATTATTTATAAATGTATTATATTTGATATAATTTTCCTAGTAAAGTTTGTTGCCTTAAAATACTTTCTGATTACTATAATAGAGCTTTCGTCACTCATAATCTAGTGTCATATTTTTCAAACCTAATCCTTTAGTAAACCATTGTGGAAACAGTATGCATCCTAATCTTTGCCATTTGGTTTGTGCATATTTCTATAATCCAGTTCATTTTCAATGCTTACCTTTGAGCAGAGACAAATGTTTAAAGGGTTGTAATTTCACCTTTTTTTGTTTTAATTGCCACACACTCTGGTGCATAAGCCTTGTCAGTAACTGTTGGGTTACTGCTGGTATCCTCTGGGGTACACGTGGGTGACTCTCCAGTGCTTGCTCTATCTCTTTACTTCCCATGGAGGTGCTCCTCCTGTACTGTGCTAGGTACTACTGTGGACCGCTGTTGACTTTTAGGAACAGACCAGTTGATGTCCTGTTGCACTTTCTCTGTACATCTAGCATAGTGTGACCCAGGGGCCCACATCATCAGTGCAGCTTATGTCAGGCCCCAACCCTGACTCTGAATCAGTATTTGCATTTGAACAAGATTTCCAGGTGAATGAATTGTACTCTGTACAACTCAGAGCCTCAGTAGCACTCATTTAGATAGCTCCTCACAGCGCATGTGATACAATCACACACTGTAGAATGGCGTTCTGGTCAGTGACAGGCCACATAAGTGATGGTCAGTCCGTCTCCTTGTGAGGTTTTAGATAGCTTAGTCTGTGAAGGCGGTACAATAGCAAGACCATCTACTGATGCGTTCCTTCCTTGACCCCAACCCTGATGGTAGACAGCAATTACAGGAAATGCTTAGCTGCTATATTCGGGATACAGACAAGGACAAAGTCCATCAAACAAACAAAACCCACCAGCAGATGGAACACACACAACAAGTCCCCCTATGGCAAGGGATGGGTCTAAATTTGCAAAATCGTTAAATTCTAGGTACTTGGCATACTTCTTTTTGCCTTTGGAACTGGTTGTTTTTCCATTTCTGTTGCCTTTTGCATTGAGTTTGCACGCTGTTTTGGTTATGTGGTACGGTTGACTAAAGCTCATTGTTCAAGATAACATTTCTTTTTTACCCTGAAGAGCAAGACGTTGTGGTTTTTATCCTATATAAAACCATAGTTCTGGTGAAGTAATCTATCAACTCCTAGATCAGTAGCAAAGTCTAAGATGAGATCAACAGTCCAAGATTGTTTTGCGAACTGAAGTTGTACGAGAGATCTGTGTTAGAAACACAACGCTTGCTGCACCTGGAAAGTGTAGGATGGGAGACTGCAGAAGCCTGCTGGGTCCAGCTGGAGCCTGTTATCTCCTGAGCCATTATTTGGTGCGATGCTGAAGGAGGCCTTTTCCACTCAGGCTCTGCTCTTGGGAAAACAAATCAGCATAAACATTGTAAAAGGAATTTTTTAAATTAATTTTATTGAGAAACAAATAGCAATGAGCTTCAAAACAGGTTAGTAGGACAGTTTCAATAATTAATACATTGCATATTGTTGTCTTCATAGTGGTTACTCATAGTACAAGATGCAGACATGATATCCAGTCCAAACACTAATAGTACAAATCTTTCTTCTTATTGAATTAAGAGAAAGTAGTGGTGTATCTATCCTATTTTGTATATACAGATACAAAATGGTCCTTCATTTGTACTCCCTTTTTTGTTTAGTTTTGTCAGAGATGGGTATTCCATTGCCATTTAAATATTGTAGGTGTGTGAATTCAGCAAAATAATCCAATATAGTCCAGTAGTCCATAGTAGTAGTGGGTTATCTATAGGACTGGCAATGTCAGAAGTTGTTGACTTGAGCAGTAAAATGCAATTTTGATAAGCATGTGTGAACATTCTTCAAGAATGAATATTCTGTGATTCAGAAATTTCCCTGGCATAACTTCATTAAAAACAAACATATGTGGAAATAAACATCAGTAAACAGTGTAGTCATTCTGTGATGAGGTGGCTTCAGGATCCACAGGAGCGAAGGGTCACTTTGCTTGTTCCACAGTCAGCACTTCATGAACATTCCACCTTTATTCTTTCATCCTCTTTCCTTGCTTAAAGTAACTGAAAACTCCTTTGTAAATAATTTAATCCCACTTGAGCTCTCTTTCCTCATTTGAATGAGGAGTTTTAAAAAAGGGATTGCTTCTCGTTATTATCTGTGCAGACAGCCTAAGTGAAAAGTATTTCATAAGCTCTTCTGAGGTGCAGATTCTTGCTCTGCTATGTCATAATACTCCATGATGAGAATTTCCCTCCAAAGGAGAGAAAGTGAGGCTCTCAGAGGTTTCATTATACATTTTAGCAAATTGGAGTCGGAATTTGAATCCAGTTCTACTTGTTTGAACTCCAAAGCTATTCTATGACCCTTAGATGCGAGAGAAACAGGTGCATGGACAGGTGCAGAGGGAGATCTTATGAGGAGTTCTGTCACATATACTAAGTTGTATGCAGTGGCTCTTTTGGTGAAAAGACTTTCTCGGAAGCTCTTAGTTTATAGAACTGGTAGAATATTTAATTTTGAATTTTAGTTATTAAAAGAGATATTCTGTTCTAAAATAGTTAATGTTCACTATCCAGTGAAAATGCTTCGTTTTTACTTGTAAGGCTTGGGAACTCTCTTGTGGGAATGAGTGTTGCTCTGCTTGGAGGTGGGACTGTGCTTCCGTGCGCTGGAGCAGGGCTGGCGCTTGTTGGGTGGGTTATGAGTGCAATCCCCTGGTGCATGGATGGCCTGACCTACACTGCTTATATCTTTATAACAGTCCTGCATAACTTTCTAGCTGATGGGAAAAAATGAATCTTTAAAAAGTGTTAATTAAAAAAATGCATTTATCGAATGCTTGTTGTGTGCCTGGCCCTGCACAGTCACGGACGCCCAGTGAATAAAGTCTCCAGTGCTCTAGGTCTGCGTGTACCCAAATCGCTTTGTTAGCAGCTCATTTAAAAAACCTTTTCTACTCATTTTACCAAGTTTCACACTAAATATGGTTAATGGAGAAAATAATCAATTGAAATGCAACTGTGCATAATGTGGTTCCCTAGAAGCATGGTCACGGGTGCAACGTTCGGAAATCCAGTCATTGTCTACAGCCACCCCACCCTGAATGCGCTTGGTCTCATCTGAAATTAAAGCATGGTTTCCACAGAAGACTTGCCATATGTTAAGTCCTCATGTTAGAACTATGAGTTATGATGATCATTATTATTTTGGAAATGGAGTCAGGGAATATGGTTGCTTTGGAAAACTTGGCGTGCTGTATAAGTAATCTTTTATTATGTGTGGTCTGCAATGTTATGGGCTGCTTTGCCTAGTGGTGATAATAGCAGAGGATCATGTGATCTTTGGGGGACAAAAGAAGAAATGGAACTGACTGAAATATTACACACACAGGAAGGAGGAATAGTGAAGGAGCAGCAAGACATTCTTAAAATAATTACATGGTTGTGTAGGATGTTTGGAAGGTTCAGTAAAAATTAACAACTTGATCTTGATGCATCCTATTCAGTGTTGTTGGGAGGCTGGCCAGGGCCCTGGGACTCTGGTTAATTGGATCAGGTAGTTATCTCCACCAAATGGCAGTGGTTTAATGTTTTTTTTTTCCTTCTTTTTCTGTTTTTGGTGCTGAGGACTGAACCCAGGGCTTCCAGTTTGCTAGATAAGTGTTCTACTGTTGAGCTAAATCCCCAGGCCCTGGTTCAACATTTCCAAGACCACCTTCCTTTCTGCTCATTATTCAGTAAAGCAAAGTCAGAGAGATTGAGGACTCTAACAAAAACCCTTATAGTGCTTTCCTCAGACTTTACTTTTAATTTATCGACTGCACATAGAAGACACAATGTGCCAAGATTTGTTACTGAATATGACACTTGGTTCACCTTGAGATTATAAATGCTTTTGCTGAGCACCTGCTATGTCCATGTACATTTAATTAAATGAGAGCAGAATAAGATTCTGGATCTCTGTAAACTATGGAAATTTTCCATAATAGCATGGAAGTGGCAAGGCGAGGAGTTGGGGCCATTCCAAGGACACAGCTGGAGGCTTAGCTGAGAGCCCAGCTTTGTCTCCTTCACTGTGGCACAGAAGGCACTGAGCATCGTGGGGATTTGTTACTTCACACCAGCACGTGATGTAGCCTCTCTGAATGTTTGTGTCCTGATGGGTTTTGATGTGCATAAGACATTGATCTCTGTCTGTCTGTCTGTCTGTCTGTCTGTCTGTCTGTCTGTCTGTCAATCCTGTGTGTGTCATATGTGCCATTACTTCCTGTGGAAACCAGTGATGATCAAGAACTAGAATGAAGGTCTGGGAATATAGCCCAGTGGCTTAAGTACTTGCCTGACAAGAATTAGAACGAGCCCTAAGACATTCTGGCTCAGTCTGTGCCTTTAAGGGTTTTTTCCTATAAGCTCATTTGAGGGTCAAGGCTATGCAATTTGCCTAATCTCGACCCAAGTAATTCTATAGCCTGATAACAAGACTATACAATTCACCGAGAACTAGGTCATGGAAGATAATTGTACCAAGTCCCTTCCCTTTGGTCATCACTGTCCTTTATTCTCAAGCATTGATCCAAGGTCACACTGCATCTCTTTCCAGCCATTCATTTTTTTTTATAATGTATAACACAAATATTTTGCTTATAGTATACTTTAATTCCCAATGCACATTCATTCACTCAATGACAGACTAAAATGTACATTCTTTTATGATAAGCCAGAACATCTATTAGCCTAACAATACAAAAAGAAAACAGGTACAGAATTAGTATTAAGGGACTTCCTTAATTAAAATTACCAAAAAAAGAAAAAAATATATATATTCTTTCATTTCCACTCCACTCTTTGGCTGAATTTTATTAATCTAATATCTGCCCTTCTTAATTCTTCTCTTAGGAAAGGCATCACTCCCTAGTCACTCAAACCAAGCCTCCTCCTTCTCTTCCTCCTTGACTTCCCCACCTATACTCAAGAACTATTAACAAGACATCTTTTTATATTTCTCTGGAATTAATCTCTTCTTCAACAGAGTTCTCTTTTGCAATTCCATTTCTTCCTAAGTGTGGCATGTGAGATTTTAACTGTTCTGTTCCAGTTTTTTCTTCTTCAGTCAGTGGTAACGGCTCCACATCTGTTTGCTTTCGTAGTTCTTCTATCATGGTCATAATTTTATTCAAAGTAGTATAAATGTGGCTCTTAATCTCTTTCTGTTCAATTGCAACAGGTTTAAAACGTGCATACAAAGTTTGGTATCGAGACTTTATGGCTGATAATTCCTTTATGAGCGTTACTGGATTTTTCTGTAATCCCAGAATTCAGGAGGATGAGGCAAGAGGACTGTTGCAAATTTGTGGCTAGCCTAGGCTACAAAGTGGACTCAAGGCCAGTTTGAACCTGCATAGGGAGACCTCTCCTGCTGAATCATGATGATTAGACTTGATTTCATATTCCAGCCTGTACTGAATATAATCCAGATCAGAGTCAGCTTTCTGGAACATCAGTTCTAGCTTATCGACCTCCGCCTCCATGTCGAATAGTTCAGCCATTCATTTTTAATTGGAGGAATAATTCAGTGATACTTGCAAAGTAATATTTTAGCTGTGTCCTTAAATGATGACACAGTTCAGCAGTATTCTTAATGAACTCATCAACATCTCATATATTAGTAATATCTGTTTTCTAGTGAATCAAGTTTACGAATTTTTTTAAAGATACATTTACATTCATTCACTTTATTTTTTATAGAAGTGGTCCTTTCTAGTCACATTTCTTGAACTATTTTACATTATTAAAATAGCAGGTCTGATCAGAATTTTCAGATCCAAGGGCACAAACAATGGATGACACAAAAATTAGGAGAGTGGTAAGGAGACCGGAAATGAGCACCCTAAGTGCCCAGCAGTCCCGGTACCTGGTACCTAGCATTTTATCTCGTTTTGATCACTGGAGCTTGGCTAGGAGAGCCGCAAGAACACTGTTCAAGGTTTGTACTGGGCTAGGTTTTTTTATACAGTCTATTTTGAACCTTTGTTGTGACTACAAGGGCTAGGAATTACTGAGCCGAGCACATTTATACAAACAACAAACCAACTTTTCTAAGTAGGGTGTCCAAAGCCACAACATTAGCAAGCAGCAGATTAGGAAACTAAAAAAGCCTGCTAAACTCTCTCCGAAGACTATTTGTCACCATTAGGATATATCAAAATAATAGATTGTGACTATCTAAAAACTCAGAGAAATCTGTTCCTACAGAAAGAACATAGATATTGTAAATGAAATCTCCATTTTAATTAATCATTAATTTTTCCCACTTAGTAAAGGAAATTTCTTTTATAGGCACGCACAAAAAAAAAAAGCTTTATTTAAGGACTGTAGGGGTAAAAGGCAATGATTTTTGGATTTTGTGTAGTGGAAGATAAATATATACCAATTGACTTTTCTTGATTTAAGCTATGTACTAGAAACTTGATCATTTTAGCAGTGAATGATGCTAAATTTAATAAATCCTCAGGATTTAGCTTGAGTTCAGTTTGCCTGCAGAGTTGTATGCTAGATGCATGGAGATTTTGTTACAGATATTTGTTTTCTTGAGGTTCTTGTTTTCTTGTGGTTCTCTGTACTATTGCTCCACCCTACTTAGTGTAAGGTCTTTAGTTTTGATGAAAGCTTTGACTTAGAGGTAGTAATTGGTGTAATTATGAAATGTTGGAGGGTTTTGTTGGCGACTTAGAAAGTGACATGAACTGTGACCTAAATTGAGATGAACTTGGTTTCACATGTATGTATTTTTCTTCAGTTCTCCCATCTTCAGGGATTAAAGGATGTTTTTAAGATTAAGCAAAAACTTAACTCTGATTTTATGAAATATATTCTGGAGTATGTCAGTAATTCATTTTCACCTCCAAGAGCTTTTGAAAATAACTGCTTAGAATTTCTAATCAGACATGGATCACACAGCTCATTTTCTTTTCATTCTCTTGAGTGAATATAATATAATCTTGGCTTAATAACTCTTTGCACTCTCCTAGATTAAAGGGAATGCGCCTGCTGTCAATGAATTGCCATCCAGTTCCTTGGGGGTACACTTATCCTTAGCCTATGTATCTGTTTACTTTCATGCATTCAGGAATTACTGCTCTCATTCTTCTTTTGAAACATAACACACATCTTCTCCCTCAGCTGTGTGACCTTAATGATTGGCTGGAAGAGAAAACAAAAGAAAACATAAACAATGGCCTGTTTTCATTGGTAGCATTTGCTGATGTCCACAGGGTAAATGCTTCTTCGTCTAGGACTTATTCCAGCCTGATGCTCCTGGATGCTGGATTGGGAAGAGAAGTGAACGACAAGGTCTCATGAGCTGGCTTCTGAAGAGCCCTGTTGCAACTGTCCTGTCTCCACCGAGTAGGTCATGCAGCCTCCTGTTGGGTGCTATTGACCGATGACCATTAGCAGCAATGCAAGGGTTTCTCTGGCAGCCTTTTTCCTGGCTGAGTTTTCAAGTTATGGCTTTGGCTTACTATTTCAAATGTCTTACTGTGTAAAATATTTTACTTCAATGTTATTAACATGGGTGCTGAACACATAAATTGATAATTGTTCTGCTTCAGGTTTTCACATTTTTGGTGTGGATATGGGCATTGCATGCTTTCCTAGAGTTTTTCAACTCTCAGTCCTGCTTAACTTGCTGTGTGCAGCCTCCAGAGTCAGAATGAAATAAACACACCCACAAATGCTGGGGCCTGAACCCTTTTTTCCAGTCTGTGTATGTGGATTCCTCAGGTTTTAACTGTGAATGGGATTGTGGTGAATATGTGCTGCAACATCTCTAGGATTTCGCAAGAGGAAACAAATTGTAGAAGTGTGACCCAGCCCTCAGCTGTGAGAAGGGTTTCTTTCATATTTAGTATGGGGTCTCACTTAGCAGCTCCGACTCGTAGTGATCCTCCTGTCTCAGCCTCCCCAGTCCTGGGATTACAGGCCTAAACTACCATGCCCAGTCTCGGTGGCCAGTTTAGCACACCTTGGGGGGGCAGTGCTGGGAGGTGGGGGTCATGTGGTGCTGGAGATTGAACCCTGATCCCTGTGCTTGCCTAAGCAGGCACTTAGTATCCTGAGTTATCTCACTGGCCCAAGGATTTCTTAATTGAACTAAATTTCAAATGTAAGTGAAATAATTCAAATGATTCTTAATGACAATAAAATTATTGACATAATTACATTTTTCTTGAAAGCCTTCCATTTATTCTGCTTTGTTCTGAACCTAATATGGAATTGTATAACAATAGCAAGTTGAAATACAGATAAATAACTTCTAGCCTTTCTTCTTTAGAACAGGACTTCCAAAAGAAGATAGGTTTACTCTCTTGGATAAGACTTTTAGTCTATTCATAGTTGGTTCAATGAAATGACCAATCTGGTCAAGATAATAAGAGAACTTAAACTTTGATAATCCTTCTGCTTCAAACACACAGAAATGAGAGATAAAATGTAATGAAAAAACAAAATACATTACTGGCTCAAACACTAAGGATTTTGAGAGTCTCAGAATGTTTTAGAAATGCCCAAGAGTGAACGAAGCTGATGTCATTACCATTTGCAAACATCACCTTTCCCACAAGACCTCCTCCAGACAACCTAGCCAACATGACGGTTGTTCAGTTCTCTGATCCAGACAAGCACTGTCTGTCTTTCTGGCTTGATTTTTGTTTCCAGCATTGTTTTCTAGATACTACTTACTTTACCTACTTACCTTGCTTACTTTTCAGGGTGTCAGCTTCAGGAGAGCAAGGATTTATCTAACAAGTTGTGAATTTTCTGAGGCTGGGATATACCTCAGTGGTAGAATTTGGGTAGTATCTGTGTGACCTTCTGCTCAGTCCCCAACCAAAACAGAGAGAAAAAAGGAGCACAGGTGACATGTATAATAAAGTACTAATGTTTAGTGAACTCTCAATGTCTATTCTTTTTTTTTTTTTTTTTGGACCGGGGATTGAACTCAGGCCCTCGTGCTTGCCAGGCAAGTGCTTATTCTACTGAGCCATCTCCCTGGCCCCTCAATGTCTATTCTTGTTGTATTATTGTTACTATTCCTATTAACAGGTAAATCTTGGCACTTGCCTGGTCTGATGTTTCTTAGATCAGTCCATGTATCTCTCTGTGTCTTAATCTTTTCTACTGCTTTTTGTGTTTCAGTTTCCTGCTTTCTTTTTTCCACTTTTCTCCATGATTCATTTTTTTTCCTGTCTGTGCAGTGAGGGGCCCATTCTGTGTGCCTATAGAGAACAGCAGCAGCCAAAGCAGTCTCCACCCTGTCTCTCAGTCCAGGCAGTCAAGAGCAGAGTGGGCGGCAGGAAGAGGCAAAAGCTCATGGAAGGATGGAGGCCTATTTTCTTCCTCTCCTCACTGCACTTCATGTCCTCAGAGCTGCCGAGCTTGGATGAGAGCAGAGCCCAAGATCCTCCTCATTCCTCTCAGTCACACAAGTAGAGGACAATTGCATTGGTCTGAATTTTAAGGACACATTAGTTTCTTTTTCTTTCGTTTATTACATATAATGGACAAATAAAAGCTGCATATTTTCAAGGATATGCAATGAGATGTTTTGATAATAGATACACAGCTGATATAATTAGTACAATCAAACCAATTGAACTCATCATGTCACACAGTTTCCGTGTGTGTGTGTGTGTGTGTGTGTGTGTGTGTGTGTGTGTGTGTGTTCTGAGAACACTTATAATCTATTCTTTTAGCAAACTCCTTGTATCTAATAGGTTGTTGTCAATCACAGTTGCCCATCTGTGGATTTGGAAGGACTCATTATTGGCATTTATGAATGTAACCTGGGTCTGGAGATGGAAATAAACTGAAATTTGGATGATGAAGAGATGTGACATGACCTTCAACAGAGACATGTAGGAGGGTGCAAGCTGCAGAGACTTGAGTTCAGCAAGGAAGTGATGCTTTTCTCCTGGTTTGAAATCTAGTGAAGACAATAAACCCAGAAGCTCCCCAAAAGGGTCTCAGGAGAAACAAGAAATCTTGACAATGGCTTTAGGCTCTGATACCCTTGAGCCTAGTCTAGAGGTAGGCAGTAATGGGTACAGAAGGTACTGTGAAATGAAGAATTGCTTGCAGCTGAGGAGAGGGCAGTTGCCAACTTCTCTTTTTTAGAGCAGAATCCATTTATTAGGAAAGAAAGCTTCTTTCAAAGAGGAATAGAAGGGATCCTGAGTGGGTTTCCTCTCCTTTTTGAGATGGGGTCTTGCTATGTAGTTCAGGCTAATTTTGAACTCACTGTGTAGCCCAGGTTGGGCTGAAACTTGAGGTGATCCTCCTGCCTCAGCCTCCTCAGTGCTGGGATTATAGGTAGGCACTACTACTCCTGGGTAGTTGCCAATGTCTGTCTGCTTCATAAAAATGAAGTGAAAAATGTTTCCTGTTTCTATGAACACTCTTTGAGATTTCTTTTTGTTCTGAGTTTTGTTTTTGTTCTTATATCAGCAAATACCAAAACTATTTTTATAAG